AATAAATAAAATAAAAAGGAACTACCATTTCCCACACATGCACGTTCTGAACTCTCGAGTATGGCAGCTGCATGAGAGCCGGCTCAGAGACCCCAGGGTGAGGCGAGCTGGGCACGAAGGGTGCAAGTCCTCCCCACCACCTCCACTTGGCTGCCAGGGATCTTTCTTTCTTTTGCCGGAGTCTTGCTTTGTTGCCCAGGCTGGAGTGCAGTGGTGCAATCTCAGCTCACTGGAAACTCTGCCTCCTGGGTTCAAGTGATTCCCCTGCCTCAGCCTCCTGAGTAGCTGGGACTATAGGCACATGTCATCATACCTGGCTAATTGTTGTATTTTTAGTAGAATGCAGGTTTCACCATAGTAACCAGGCTGGTCTCGAAATCCTGACCTCATGATCCGCCCGCCTCGGCCTCCCAAAGTGCTGGGATTACAGGCATGAGCCACCACATCCGGCCAGACTTCCAGGGATCTTTCTAGAAGACACAGGCCTCTCCTAGGCTCTCTGGACAAATGCCGTGCCCCTGCCTCATGGTCATTTCACCCTGTCGGGACTCTCTCTGTGCAGCTCCCTGCATGAGCTTTGAGACCTGGCTTCAATGTCAACTGTGCTGGGGGTCCTTCCTGGCCAACTCCCTCTCCATCATTTGTCTCTGTCTTTGGAGAATCGTTTGCCTGTTGGTTGAACTTGGGCTCCAGTGACAACCAAGCTCTCGAGGACGGCCCTCCTTCTGGTGAGGACTCATGGAAGCCTTGGTGAAAATCCCTAGTCCTGGCCGGGCGTGGTGGCTCAAGCCTGTAATCCCAGCACTTTGGGAGGCCGAGGCGGGTGGATCACGAGTTCAAGAGATCGAGCCCATCCTGGTCAATAAGGTGAAACCCCGTCTCTACTAAAAATACAAAAAATTAGCTGGGCACAGTGGCGCGTGCCTGTAATCCCAGCTACTCGGGAGGCTGAGGCAGGAGAACTGCCTGAACCCAGGAGGCAGAGGTTGCGGTGAGCCGAGATCGCGCCATTGCACTCCAGCCTGGGTAACAAGAGCGAAACTCGGTCTCAAAAAAAAGAAAGAAAAAGAAAAAGAGAAAAGAAAATCCCTAGTCCTTGCTCTCAGGATCCAAGAACCAGAAACGAGAGCCTAGGGCCCCTCCATGGCCTGACCAGTCCCCAAGACAGCCATGCCTGTGGCAACTGCACTCTAAGGCATCAGGCTCAGGGTCGCTCCAGGACACCTGTTTTCCCTGACGCCATTCCAGGCCTGGGCACCAGGGGCTGCACCTCCTGTCCCTAGACTCCCCCCCACTCTCCTGTCATTCAGGGGTACAGGCGGGAAAGGGCAAGGCCCTGGGTGCTCCAATATTTTACATCAGTGAACCAAGGACCTACTGAGTCCCTCATATGTGCCCAGTCCTGGACCCCAGCATTCACAAGATGCCAACAGGCCCAGCTGACCCCCAGCCAGGGTGAGTGGCACCCAGCACAAGGAAGTGGCCTTCAGAGCAGGGGGCCCTGAGCTGATGACATCTACACCTAGGGCAGTGCCAGCCCAGACAACCTCCAGAACAACGGGATGTCCTCCCCAATGACCAACTTATAGGAAACAAGGAGGACACACTCACAGCACCACGGAAGTGACACCATGGAGGTGGCAGCCCTGAGACACAGCCGAAAATCCAGGCTGCAGGAGCTGGTTTCTTCAACACATTGTACAAGGAAAAAGAGAGGAAGGGAAGCTCCTAGACATCACTGGACATTCCAAAGGCATCACTCACTCACACCTGTAACCCCAGCACTTCGGGAGGCCAAGCCTGGCGATCACCTGAGGCCAAGAGATCAAGACCACCTAGCCAACATGGTGAAGCCCTGTCTCTCTACTAAAAATACAAAAATTAGCCAGGCGTAATCGCAGAGGCCTGTAATCCCAGCTACTTACGAGTCTGAGGCAGGAGAATTGCTTGAACCTGGGAGGTTGCAGGTTGCAGTGAGCCAAGATCACGCCACTGCCCTCCAGCATGGGTGACAGAGCAAGACTCCATCTCAAAAAAAAAAAAAAGTTATCAGCTGGTTTGTCTGAGCACAGTGGTGTTTACAACCAATTGATCACAGCCACGTAGATTTCTTTGTTCTTTCTCCAGTCCCACTACTTCACTTAACCAGCCTTAAAGACACACGTATTTATTTTTGCCAGGTGTGGTAGCTCATGCCTATAATCCCAGAACTTTGGGAGGCTGAGGCGGGTGGATCACCTGAGGTCAGGAGTTTGAGACCAGCCTCACCAACATGGGGAAACCCTGTCTCTACCAAAAATATTAAATTAGCCAGGCATCGTGGTACATGCCTGTGACCCCAGCTACTCAGGAGGCTGAGGTAGGAGAATCACTTGAATCAAAAAGGTGGACGTTGCGGTGAGCCAAGATTGTGCCACTGCACTCCACCTGGACAAGAGTGAAACTCCGCCTCCAAAACAAAACAAAAAAAGGACATGTACGTATTTTCTCATTTTTTTAATATACTTTTAAAAGACACCTACTAATTGCACAGGTGGACCTTATTTGGCTCCTAATTCAAACTATTAAACTAAATATATGAACACAACAGACCTTCAGAGACATTAAGGAATTCTTCATTGTGTTACATGTGTCCGTGGTATTGCGATGCCCTCCAAGAGGCTTGCAGATAAAGAACAGGGTGGCTGGAATTTGATTTAAAACATGGGTCAGCAGGGAGTGCAGGGCAGCTCTGGGGTAGGGGGTCCATGAGTCAGCCACAGCTCTGCCCATATCTCCCTACAAAGCTTCGAGCCACACGGAACAGCACATTTTGCAGTGCACCATCTTTTCAAAAAGCCACCACCTCTCAGCAGCATCATTTAACCCGAAGAAGGCTGTGGCCTCAGAAGCCCCAGCTGTCCTCCATCTGGGACTGGACACAGTTGTTCCTGCTGAGCCTCAGCAGCTGGGGAACCACAAATGGAGGGGCACCTGCGTGAGGCCCCCAGGCAGGCTGCTGGTGACATCCAGACAGCAATGCTCCTGGGCCTTTAAACACCCACTGGTAGCTGTGATCTGTGTCCTTGGCCTCTCCCGACTTGGCCCTTCTACCCCGGGGAAAGAAAATCCACCCATCTCCCTGAGGAGGAGTTGGCAGGGTAGACAGCAAAATGGCTAGGAGGCTCTCAGAGCACAGAGGGCAGCCTGAGTGGGGACAGCCAGGGCATTAATATCCTCCCCAAGGCCCCAGTTTCCCATGGGGCCCCTCACCCCGCCTTCCAGACCTCTCCCAGCAGCAGCTCCGGGAGTGTACAGAAGAGCACCCACATGAGGTCACCCTGTGCCCTGTTGCACACTTGAGGGGCCAGCCATTCAGAATCTTGCCAGCTCAGCTAGGACAGGCCACCAACTCCCAGGGTCCCCCTCCTCCCAACCCCAGGACCGGAGTCTAACGGGACAACGCAAGGTGGGGCGGAGGGATCCACTGCTGTGCCGAGAACCTTGAGAGCCCGGGCCTTGCTCTGCGCTCAGCTGCCGCCAGCGCCCTTCTCTCCTGGACAGCTCTTGAGGGGCCGCTCACATGGACAGCACCAGGTGCCGGGAGGCAGGAAGCACCGGCAGGACCTGGACAGAGCCCTAGCAACCAGCCTGGCAGGCAGAGGTGCCTTCAGCTACAGCATCGGAAACAACAGGTGGGGTAGGTCTGATGCAATTCTGCGGACCCTGCAGCCACGCAGGTGGGGGCCATCTCCACAAAGACCGCTGCAAGACACACGCTTCAGCGGTCAGGGAGCACAGAAGCAGCGCAGCTCTGAGGGGCAAAGCCTCCAGAGCTGGTCCTGGAACATCCATTCTTCCTCCACCCTCGAGACCACCCAGCAAAGCCTCAAGAACACAGGGCTCCCGTAAGGAAGGGTGGCCACAGGCGGGAGTGACCCAGAAACCTTACAAAACCAAATGCCAGGACCCACCCACCCTGTGTTTAGCAAGCCTGGGGATGTGCGCCACGTTCCCCAGGGATCCAGCATGCACCCAGGGAGATGCAGTGTCCCGATGAGGAGCCTGGAGCCTGAGAAATCCAAGGCATAAGACCGGCCCCAGTCTCCGCAGCGCTGGGGACAACTGTCTGCACATCTCAGTCCCCCGCGCCCCTTTCAACACAACCCTGAGTCCTGGGCACCTCACAGGTCCAAACCCCTGCTGTGCACATCCCAGCTGCGATGCCTGGACAGGTCGCGTCTCCTCTCCAAACCTGTTTCCCCATCTGTGAAATGCGGATCTCGACGGTCCCCATGTCTCAGAGGGCCGGGGTCCGGATTCCGCATGATGACCCCCTACAGGAGCCTAGCACAGGGTCTCGATAAAGGCCACCTGTGTTTACGTCCCGAAAGCGAAGGTGACAAGGCTTTAACCCCCCACGGCAATCCCCCCTGACCCCTTCTCAGGACAGCCCTGGAACCCAAGACCAGAGCGCCCGAGGCCCTTGATGACCCCAGCGGACCGCAGCCCACCTCCCACCCTGCCCTCTCCCCACCTCCCGTGGTCACCTTCCAGCCTCCGTCTTTGCTCACACCGGTCCCCCTCCCTCTGGACCCCCCTTCTTCACTCCTCCCTAAACCTCAGGCCAGTTCGCGGACATCCATCACATCTCTGTCCAGACACCTCCTGGAAGTCTCCCCATCTCCCCGGGTACTCCGCAGTCCCAGGCCGCGTCCTAATTCCTCCCCAATCAGCCAGTGTGTGTCCTCCCGGCCCAGCGCGGACTCCCCGCCCCGCCTCCGCTGGCGTCTGCGGAGCCCCCGGGTGGGACTTCTGTCTCCAGAAACCGGGTTTTTCGGCTTCCCTAGGCGGTGCCAGCCGCGGCTCCAGGCGTTCCTTATTTAGCAGGGCCGCCGTCCCGCGCCCGAGCCTCGCCCTGGGAGCGTCCTGGCCCGCGCCCCGCTTCCAGTCCCGGACCAGGGAACGCGCCCACGCCCGCCCCGAGGCCTCTCCCGGGTCCCACCGGGCCCGCTACTTACAGCGCAGTGGCGTCCGCGGGGATGCGCAGCGCGGGCCCGAGCGTCCGCAGACCGCGACCCGAGCAGTTGACGCGGCAGGCGGCGCCGGGAGCCGGGCCGCAGAGGCAGGGGGGCGCGCAAGGCCCGCAGCCGCGCCCGGAGCCCCCCGCCAGCGACCCGAGCCACAGGCCCAGGCCCAGGGCCAGCGTCAGGCGGGCGGGCGCGGCGGGCGGCATCGTCAGGGTAGCGCGCGCATGGCCCCGCCGGCCCCAGGCCCGCCCGCGCGCGGAGGCCGCGGCTCAGGCGGGGCCCGCGGACTGCATGGCTGGAGCCGGGTGGGATAGGGCTGCGGCCACGGTCTGCTGCTGCTGCTGCTGCGCGACACCCGCTCCGCGCTCGGGGCCAGGTCGCTCCAGGAGCTCGGCCGCCAGCTAAGACGCTGGCGCTGCAGTGCGGGCCCCGCCGCGGCTCCTCCTCCTCCCCGTGAGGCGCGGGACGGGCGGGGCGACAGCAAGCTCCGCCCCCTGCCCGCTGTGGGGCGCGCAGCCGGGGCCAGATAAGGGGGGGCGGGCGTCGGGAGACTTCACTTCAGCTCCGCAACGTCGGCAACTAGGCGGGGGGTCCGGAAGCTCCGCCCACTACGTCTCCGGGTCGCCGGCGACGTGGGGCTGAACAGGGGGCGGGGATTCCGGAAGACCCTCCCGTCGCACTGCAGAGTAGGCAGAGGCACGAGGTGGGCGGAGTATTTTCGCGCTCCGCCCCCTGGAGGGGAAAGTGCGTGGGCCAGGAGTGGTGGGCGGGACGCCAAATAGCTCCGCCCTTCTCCGCGCTGTGGGCCGAGCCACGGACTCCTCCTCCTTCTGCCGCGGCCGCAGACCCCGCCCCACTCCTTCTCCCGCGGCTCAGCCTGCGCGCGCGTCCCTAGTGCCCGCAGCCTCCCGATGCATCCGCTGGCTCCAAGCCTACCTACCCCAGGTTTCCTGGCTAAGACACAGAGGGAGAGAGGGGGAGAGAGAGAGAACAAACAATGGGAGGTCGACGGTGAGAGCTTCTTGAAAGACAAGGAGGAGAAAACCCACATCCGTCATTCCCCATCCATTCATTTATTGCCTTATTTATTGCACTGAATCTTCACAGCTCTAGGAAAAGGGTGCTACAATGATTTCCTTTATTAAATGAGGTCACCGAAGCACAGAGAGTTTAAGAAGTTTGCCAGCAGGGCGCAGTGGCTCACTCCTGTAATACCAGCACTTTGAGAGGTCGAGGAAGGTAGATCCCTTGAGGCTAGGAGCTTGAAATCAACTTGGCCAACATGGCGAGACCCCGTTTCTACAAAAATTATACAAGCACGGTGGCGAACGCCTGTAGTCCCAGGTACTCGGGAAGCTGAGACCAGAGGATCACTTGAGCCCAGGAGTCAGTGGCTGCAGTGAGCCGTGATTGTGCCACTGCACTCCAGCCTGGGTGACAGAGTGAGAGCCTGTTTCAGGAAAATTAAATAAATAAATAATAAAAAAGGAATTGGCGGGGCCCAATTGCTCACGCCTGTAATCCCAGCATTCTGGGAGAGATGGGCGGATCACCTGAGATTGGGTGTTCAAGACCCGCCAGACCAACATGGAGAAACCCCATCTCTACTAAAAATACAAAATTAACAGGGCGTGGGGTTGCATTCCTGTAATCCCAGATACTCTGGAGGCCGAAGTAGGAGAATCTCTTGAATCTGGGAGGCGGAGGTTGCAGTGAGCCAAGATCACGCCATTGCACTCCAGCCTGGGCAACAGAGCAAGACGCCATCTCAGAAAACGAAGAAAAAAAGAAATTTACCAGGTCACACAGCAGGTGGGTGGTAGGGCTGCAGTTATACTCCAGGTTTTAATTGCAGTCAAATGTCAGAGCTAAGAGTCACGGACTCCGGAAGAAAGAAGATACAGCCACAAGAAACTGATGCCAAATGAGCAAAACAGATCACTGATCGTTTGAAGGCAGTTGTGAAGTAAAACGCAACTGTTTAGAAAGGATTTCTGGGCAGGGCGCGGTGGCTCAAGCCTGTAACCCCAGCACTTTGGGAGGCCGAGGCGGGTGGATCACGAGGTCAAGAGATCGAGACCATCCTGGACAACATGGTGAAACCCCGTCTCTACTAAAAATACAAAAATTAGCTGGGCATGGTGGCGCGTGCCTGTAATCCCAGCTACTCGGGAGGCTGAGGCGGGAGAATTGCCTGAACCCAGGAGGCGGAGGTTGCGGTGAGCCGAGATCGCGCCATTGCACTCCAGTCTGGGTAACAAGAGCGAAACTCCGTCTCAAAATAAAATAAAATAATAAAATAACAAATTAAAAGGATTTCTGAAATAGAAAAGACATACGCGCTTTTTTTTCCTTTTTGAGACAGAGTTTCAGTCTTGTTGCCCAGGCTGGAGTGCAATGGTGCGATCTCGGCTCACTGCAACCTCTGCCCCCCGGGTTCAAGCGATTCTCCTGCCTCTGCCTTCCAAGGACCTGGGACTAGAGGCATGCGCCACCATGCCCAGCTGATTTTTTGTATTTTTAGTAGAGAACAGGTTTCACCACATTGGCCAGGCTGGTCAAACTCTTGACCTCAGGTGATTCACCCACCTTGGCCTCCCAAAGTGCTGGGATTACAGGCGTGAGCCACCACGCCCCGCCTGACGTATGCTTAAAGAAGCAAATTAATTACCTGGAAATGAAATTCTAAACTATTTTAAAAAACATGTGGGCTGGGCTCACGCCTGTAATTCCAGCACTTTGGAGGCCGAGGTGGCTGGATCACCTAAGGTCAGGAGTTTGAGACCAGCCTGACCAACATGAAGAAACCCCGTCTCTACCAAAAATAAAAAAACCAGCTGGGTGTGGTGGCAGTCATGCCTGTAATCCCAGCTACCCCGGAGGCTGAAGCAGGAGAATCGCTTGAACCTGGGAGGCAGAGGTTGTAGTGAGCTGAGATCATGCCATGGCACTCCAGCCTGGGCGACGAGCGAAACTCTGTCTCAAAAAAAGAAATGTGGTGACACAGAGCAAATAAAATGCGCCAAAGATCTTGTTTGGTTCAGGGAGGAAGACATCAGGGAAATGTTTCTTGATAAAATACAAACCTGAAGATTTTATTAACTATTGTTAATAATTGTTAGCCTAAAAGGGGGAAACTAGAAGAGGAGAAAAGGAAGAAGAAAACTTGGCTGGGCGTGGTGGCTAAGCACTTGGGGCCAGGAGTCTAGGAGAAACAGGGCCCAGCACTTTGGGAGGCCGAGGCAGGTGGATCACCTGAGGTCAAGAGTTTGAGACCAGCCTGAAAAATCCCATCTCTATTAAAAATACAAAAATTAGCCAGGCATCGTGACAGGCATTTGTAATCCCAGCTACTCGGGAGGCTGAGGCAGGAGAATCACTGGAACCCAGGAGGTGGGGGTTGCAGTGAGCCGAGGTAGCACCACTGCACTCAAGCCTGGACAACAGAAAGACACTCCATCTCAAAAAAAAAAAAAAAAAAAAAAAAAAAAGCCTGGGGGTGGTGACACACACCTGTAATCCCAGCACTTTGGGAGGCCGAGGTGGGTGGGTCAACTGAGGTCAGGAGTTTGAGACCAGCCTGACCAATATTATGAAACTCCATCTCTAATAAAAATACAAAAATCAGCCGGGTGTGGTGTCAGGGGCTGTAGTTGCAGCTACTTGGGAGGCTAAAACAGGACAATTGCTTGAACCCAGGGGCTGGAGATTGCAGTGAGTGGAGATCACGCCATTGCACTCCAGCCTGAGCGACAAAGCAAGACTCTGTCTCAAAAAAAAAAAAAAAAAAGAGCCAGGCGCGGCGGCTCACGCCTATAATCCCAGCACTTTGGGAGGCCAAGGCAGGTGGATCACGAGGTCAAGAGATCGAGACCATCCTGGTCAACATGGTGAAACCCCGTCTCTACTAAAAATACAAAAAATTAGCTGGGCACGGTGGTGCGTGCCTGTAATCCCAGCTACTCGGGAGGCTGAGGCAGGAGAATTGCCTGAACCCAGGAGGCGGAGGTTGCGGTGAGCCGAGATGGCGCCATTGCACTCCAGCCTGGGTAACAAGAGCGAAACTCCGTCTCAAAAAAAAAAAAAAGAAAAGACAGGAAACTGCAAACACAAAGTAAGTATGGCAGCAGTATTGATACCAGAAAAATAAACCTCAGGCAAAAGGTGTTAAATGGGAAAAGAATATTTTTTTTCTACACGAATAACTGGTGTAGTCTGTGTAGAATATATTACAAATGGTTCTGTTCTCTTTTTTTTTTTTTTTTTGAGACGGAGTTTCGCTCTTGTCACCCAGGCGGGAGTGCAATGGTGTGATCTCGGCTCACCGCAACCTCCGCCTCCTGGGTTCAGGCGATTCTCCTGCCTCGGCCTCCTGAGTAGCTGGGATTACAGGCATGAGCCACCGTGCCCGGCCCGGTTCTGTTCTCAAAAATAGAACATCAACCCGCAAAGCTAAACTGTGAAATACAAAGATTTTGAAAACCAAAATCGGGCCCGGTGCCTTGGCTCACGCCTGGAATCCCAGCACTTTGGGAGGCCGAGGCAGGCGGATCACAAAATCAGGAGTTCAAGACCAGACTGGCCAACATGGTGAAACCCCATCTCTACTAAAAAATACAAAAATTAGCTGGGCGTGGTGGTGCGGGCCCGTAATCCCAGTGGTTTGGGGGGCTGAGGTAGGAGAATTGCTTGAACTGGGACCCGGGAGGCAGAAGTTGCATTGAGCCGAGATGAACCCACTGCACTCCAGCCTGGGCTGCAGAGCGAGACTCCATCTCAAAAAACAAAAACAAAATCAAATGCAAAATCCTCTCCTGAGGCTTTATTACACCTTCCCTTGAATTTTACAGATGAAGTGCACAGTTTTTGTCCTGGCACAGGGGGTCACACCTGTGATTCTAGAACTTCAGAAGACCGAGGCGGGAAGATCACTGAGGCCAGCCCGGACAACACGCAGAGACTCCATCTCTACAAAAAACACAAACAAAAAATTAGGCAGGCATAGTGGAGCTCGCCTGTGGTCAGTTCCGGTTACTTGGGAGATGAGGCAGGAGACTCACTTGAGCCCAGAAGGTCAAGGCTGCAGTGAGCCATGATAGCACCACTGCACTCCAGCCTGGGTGACAGAGGGAGATCCTGTCTCAAAAAAAAAAAAAGAAAGAAAGAAAGAAAAAGAGAGAGACAGTTTTTTTTTTTTTTTTTGAGATAGAGTCTCCCTCTGTCACCCAGGCTGGAGTGCAGGGGTGTGATCTCAGCTCACCGTAACTTCTGCCTCCCAGGCTCAAGTGATTCTCCTGCCTCAGCCTCCCATGTAGCTGGGACTACAGGCATGCACCACCACACCCGGCTAAGTTTTATATTTCTAGTTGACACCAGGTTTCATGATGTTAGCCACGTTGTTCTCTAACTCCTGGCCTCAAGTGAGTCACCTGCCTCAGCCTCCCAAAGTACTTAGATTACAGGCGTGAGCCAGTGTCCCTGGCCAGAGACACTTTTTATTTATTTATTTATTTTTTGAGACGGAGTTTCGCTCTT